GTACTCCTAGTTGTAGAATTTCCACTCAGCCAGCCCTCCTGTGGTTCTGGATGTTGTCCGTTCCCTTTTTCAGGCTTAATTTGAATTGGTTGTTTAAGGCAGCGATCTCCGGCGTTAACCTATGCCGCCATCTTCGGTTTCCGACCTTCAAGGATCTGGGGGCTGGAGGTCCTGGGTCAAGGAGTTGGCAGGGTGGGTTTATGGTGAGAGCTCGCTCCCTGGCTGGTGGGTCCTCAAATGGTGGAGAGCGCCTAGTACAATTACTTTAAAATTGTTTACATACAGAAAAACCTGGAAAGATTTATGTACATCAGGTTACTTTCAGTGGTGAGACAGTTGGGTGATTTAATTTTTCTCAGCTCTAGATGTTTTCTGCTGTGAACATACACTAATTGTCTGACGTTTTAAAGGGAAAGTGAGGGGGGTGGGAAAGGACACATATGTAATACCCTTTGTAATACTTTAAGCAATAAAAATAAATAAATAAATAAATAAATAAATAAAAATAAAAAATAAAATAAATAAAGGGAAAGTGAGGGAGCCAGGAGTCCGTGTCCTGGGGAAGGGGACTCGGCGGGGCTGAGCACGCCTTTGTCCTCACAGGTTGACCAAAGTGATCCGGAAGAGCCTCATCAGCCTGGTCCGCGCCATCAAAGGGCAGGTCCTGATGTCCTCGGAGCTGGAGGACGTCTTCAACAGCATGCTCATCGGCAAAGTGCCGGCCATGTGGATGGCCAAGTCCTACCCGTCGCTGAAGCCGCTGGGCGGCTATGTGGCCGACTTGCTGGCCCGCCTGACCTTCTTCCAGGTGCCTGGAAGGCGGGGCCCAGGGTCCTGGGGTCCCGGGCGCCCGGCATGCACACTCAGGTGGCCAGGACATGCGGAAAGGGCAAACTAGAGGCGGTGGGAGGAGAGGCAGCGCGCAGCCACCTGGATTCACTCCTGCCGGGAACAGTCTCCCCCGAGTGGAGGGCCAGAGTCAGAGTTCTTGGAAGGTGGTAGCCTGTGGAGGCAAGCGTAGGAACTATTATAAATGTCACAAACTGGTGGCTCACGGACCAGATTTGGCTATATATTTGGTTTGGCTCCTGGCAATTTAAAATTCTTGAGCTAGCCTGTAAACATTGGATTATTAGACATAAAAAGCCAGATGTTTGTCCTACAGAACCAGGGGGACTGGCCAGTGGCTGCATGGCCACCCGGCTACAGGGACAGGCTGTGCTCAGCCCAGACCCAGCTTGCCCCTGCGTGTCTCTTCAAGCAGAAGTGTGTTTCTTTGTGCCTTCATTTGAGTGGGGGAACATCAGCTAGGCTGGAAGGCCGCGTGTCAAGGAAAGGAGAAAAAGCATATTTCTGAATGGGACCCATTTGCAGTGCCTGCCTCATGCTGTCTTGGCCTTTGTGTGGACTGAGTTTTGTTTCTGTGGCCCAGGACTGGATCTCCAGCGGGCCCCCTGTGGTCTTTTGGATCTCCGGGTTCTACTTCACACAGTCGTTTCTGACGGGGGTCTCCCAGAACTATGCCCGGAAGTACACCATCCCCATCGACCACATTGGATTTGAGTTTGAGGTAGGAGCTTCGGCCGGGCGCTTGGGGTCAGCCAGGGGCAGTGCTGCCCGTTTCCTTACTGGTCTGAACCTTCCATGTGCGGGCACAAGTGCTTCTGCGATGTACGAATGAAATACTTAGCATGAACTAAAGTACTTCCAAAGTTATTCCGCCAGAACCAGGGAATTCCCAAGGCCATGCATCTGTTTATATAAAAGGGATCTATCTTTTCAAAGGAAAAATCTGCCACCTTTATGCCAAGAAAAGTGAAAGCATTCTCCCATGCCATCTATTTAACGTGCGGCTCCTCATTTGGAGATGATCATGGACTTGGGTAGTCCCTTGCTTGGGATAAAGTTAAAGGAATTGTCCATGGTGGAGCATCACCCTGTCATACTCTCTGGAGAGAAGGGAGCAGAGGGACTGGTGGATTGTAGAATTGTAAACTCTGTGGAAAGACTGATTGAGATCATCTAATCCAGACTTCACAAACTGGTGGTCCTAGGTCTCAACTTAGTTTGTGAATAAACTTAACTCTGAAGACAATGTTAATCCAAAATTAGTGCAGTAAAAAAAATAACTGGGATAAACATTAGGAAAATATATAAAATCACATTTTTTAATGTTGAAATGATCGTATACCTAGAAATTCTAAGAGACCCTAAAATCATATATATAAGAGTAGGAGAATTTGTAAGGTGACTGGTTAAATATACAAAAATCAATATCCTTTCCTACTCGAGCGGTAAGTACTCAGAAGTAGAAATGGGATAAGCATTCCATTGACAATAACAAAACGATTGGAATTTGCAATTTAGAATGGAGCTTATGCTCTGTGGTTCACCCGCACCCACCGCTCCCTGTTCCCCTACCTGAACCATTTGCTGCGTTTGCTGGAAGGAATGAGAGTTTTCTGCCTCGGAGTCTCACGGTGGTGGGTACCATGGCCACGTACTCGGTCAGGGCGTTGTCCCAATCACCAAGGTTGCAGGTTCAGTCCTGCTCAGGGGACATGCAGGAATCAATCAATGAGTGCACAGAAAGTGGAACAACAAAAATTGATGTTTCTCTCTCTCTCCCTCCCCGTCTCTCTCTAAAATCAATAAAAATAAATAAATTGTGGTAAACTAGAGCTGGCTCATACCAAGTCCCCAAAGCCAGATGGAACTGATTGTTAAGTAGGTGGTAGCCTGAACTTGGCCATGGTGGGAGTCTGTAGACCACAGAAATTGACCCAAACTACAAGCCACAGCTCTCTCTCTCCCCCAGAGAACTGTTTCTGACCTACTCTCACTCCACAGGCCCCGGTGCAGAGAGGGTCACAGCTGGTGCCACGAAGGTGGCCTCTGACTCCTAATTCGGTGCTTTCCCTATGCCTGCCACATGGAAGGATGCATGGCCCGCGGACAGCAGACAGGCGTCCTGGGAGGGGCATGCTGGGCAGGCAGACATGCAGCCTGGCTGCACTTTTCCAAATGGCAGGTCCCGGCACTCACATCCTCTCTTCCAGGTGACCACACAAGAAGCCACCATGGGGAGCAGCCCGGCAGACGGGGCCTACATTAAAGGGCTCTTCCTAGAAGGCGCTCGCTGGGACAGGAGCACTCAGCAGATCGAGGAGTCTCTCCCCAAAATCCTCTATGACCCACTGCCCATCATTTGGCTGAAGCCTGGGAAAAGTGCAGCGTTTCTGCACCAGGACATATACGAGTGTCCAGTCTATAAAACAAGTGCCCGGAGGGGCACCCTGTCCACCACGGGCCACTCTACCAACTACGTCCTCTCCATCGAACTGCCCACGGACAGGCCCCAGAAGCACTGGATAAACCGCGGGGTGGCCTCCCTGTGCCAGCTGGATAACTGAGGCATCTGTCTTGACACAGAAATAAAGGGCACTCATTCTTCACTGCCGCCTGGCAGCCCTTTCGTGAGGGGCTTGGCGTGATCAAGGTGATGAGGGTGACGTTACACTGACATCACACTTGCTGTGAGCCAGCTATAGAGCAGCCCTATCAAGTAGGTATGACTATCATCCTCATTTAGGGCTACAGAAACCATGCTATAAGGGAGGTTAGTAACATCCCCCGAACCAGACAGCCTGTCGGGGTGCTGATCTTGCCAGGAGCGATGGAGACAGGAGGGGCAGGTATTCTGCTCAAGGTAGGGAGATTAATGGCTTTTTTTTTTTTTTCAAGAAACACTTTTTCCAAGGTGGAAAACAACGTCAGAATGGCTAGAGAGCTGGAGCTGTCTTACTGTTCCAAGTGAGATTGTTAGTCCTGTGAGGTGGAATCCATGAACCTTGCACTGGTCAGGTAAGCCACACTGCAAGTGCAAGGCACTGAGGGGGTGGCTAGGAAACAACTGCATTTTAATTAGTTGTCTAGCTCCCCCTTCAGCAACAAAAGCTGTGGAGGCAGGGACTGGCCATTTCATTCCTCAGGGGTCAAGGGACAGAATGTTTCTGTATAATGGATTACATTTTTATATAACTTAAACATTCCCTCCACTTTGAAAAGAAAGATTGCCGCGAGCTTCTTGGGACCAACATGGCCGTGAACATCTCTCCGTGGAAGAGCAGCCTGTTCTTCAGAAGCTGGTGCCTTGGAGCCCAGCGCCCAGGCAGAGGTGGCCAGGGGTCAACCCGGCCGGAGACGCCAGCCTGCCTCCCAATGGCTCAGCAGGTGACAGCAGACAAACCTTGTCACCAAGCTATTCTTTGCTCTTTAAAAATCTAGTGTTGGTAGTTTCCATGTGAGCGTTGGAAGGACATTTCATTGAGAGAAGGGATATAGGAAGATAGGTTCTGCCTTTAAAAGACCAAAGTATGGAGATCGTATTGTCTTGGAGAGAAAATTAAAAAAAGAAAATGCATCTTTGTAAAGAAGACGAGGCATATAACATTCACTTTTAGGTAGGATTCGTGGCTCACAGAAGAAACCCCGAGGCTAGTTAGCAATTAGGTGGACTTCCACCCGGGAGGAGGCTGGGTGGGAAAGGTGGTCTACAGAGCAAGACAAACACTGCAGTCACCCTGAGTTACTGAGACTGCAATGGAGCCAGGAAGCCAAGGTCGCTTGGTCCTCCAAGCACAGGTCACCATTTCATTGGCTGGTTGAGCGCACAGGCCGTGTTGAATGAAAGCACTTCCAGGCAGGGAGATGCTTCCACAGAGACGAGATGGAAGGGGAGTGACTGGTGGGACAGCAGATTCATGCCTCCCAGTCCAAGCAAGGCTGGGGGCACACTCACTGAATGGCCCACACACCTGCCAGGACAGTTAAGTTTCTCTTCCGAAAAGGCCTGAAGCTGCAATTGTTAAATCTGCACACGCTGCTACTCCCAGGCAGTATTAAACAGGGTAATGCTGTATTCTAGAGAGTTAGAGTTCTATACATTTTCACTGCCAAACCCTGCAGGACTTACCTGGAGCATAGAAAACGACGCCACTGCTCCCAGGAGCCTGGGATAGAATGCCCTTTTGAATGAGAGATCTGTGTGACAAGGGAACCCTAAATCTAGGTGTAGGCAGGAATTACCAACTGCTGCTTCTGTGGGCCCTCACACACACGCAAGGGTAAATCCTTCCTTCCACCCTCTCCTTGTTCCATTTCTGTTTAGACATAACTTGAAAGCCAGCTTTGCCCTTGTACATTCTAATTATGTTAAGGCAAAATACTTGCATTGATTCAGTAGGAGTTTCAAGTGAGCCTTTCGGTCCCAGTGCATCCCAAGTCCACGCTTGAAGATGCTATGCTTAAACGGAGGCAGGGCTTCTCGGCACGTGTGTGGAGGAGCCAGGCATGGGTCTCAACGTTTCCAGGGAAAACTATGAGGAACCCAGTGGTGCCCTTTTAAAGGGGTGTTTGTCTGGAAATTGGGAGGGTCTAAAGAAGACAAAACACACACAAAAAGCCCACTTTTTAAAAAAAGATTTTTTATTTTTAGAGAGAGGAAAGGAGTGGGAGAGAATGAAACATCAATGCGAGAGCATAAACTGGGGATCGAGCCCGCAACCCAGACATGGCCCTGCCTGGTATCGGCAACCTTTGGGTGTACAGGGCAACACCAATCCAGCCACACCAGCCAGGGGGGAAAGCCCACCTGTAAGCAAATCTATAACTTAAAAGAAAGCCTACACTATTCCGAGGGAGGTAGGCTGTTTGCGAGCAGCCATGAGAAACCCAGACACTGGGTGGCTTCTCAGTGTCAGCTGACAGGCCAGGCAAGGACTTGCCTCGAGCAGCTTTGCCATTCTCCAGTCTTCTCCCTCAGGGAGGCCGTGAGGTCTGCAACCGCAGGATTAGTGTCATCCCCGCAGACAGCAAGGCCCTGACACACTGTGAGCACACATCATGAGGTCAGTACCAATATTTGGGAGCCTTTAAAGAAGACACTTGAATTTTTGCCCCAATCAAGGAGAAGGTTTTGCCGTTTGGTTTACATTGAAGACCTAGTTGGCTCATCGTCTGAGAAATAAACGTTCCCTGGATTAGGAAACCTCATCATGAGACTTGAGATATACTGGTTTGGAAAGTTTCCTCAGTTTCTCCTGGCTTCGAAGTCCCCGGCCTCGTAGTGAGGTAAGGCCCATTGGAGGCAGATGAATCTGAGTAAGAAGAGTAAGAATAATGATAATATTAAGAATTATAATCACTGCAGCAGCTTATATTCATTGAGCAGTTTCTAAATACCATGCTCTCTGCTCAGCACGACATCTGCAGAGTCATTAATCCTTACAATCATCTCGGGGCATTATATCAGCATTTAGAGATGAGAAAATGGAGGCTGAGAAGTTAAAACTTGCTCAGATTAGACATAAAGTGGGAGAGCGGATCTGAACCCAGATGTGTCTGATGCCAGACCTGGGCTCTTCTTGGCCATGCTGCCTGCATGGAGGGAAAAGCCACAAACCACACAGTGAAATGAAAATGCAAAGGTGAGGGGAAGCTTGGTCACAAAGATGTGTGCGTGGTAGCAAACTGGGACCAGCCTAAACGTCTACCGGAAGGGCTCATTCTCACAAAGGATGCAAGGCAACCATGCAAAAGAGAGAGGCAGACATGCCCAGAAGCAGGAAGTAAAGCAAGCAGGCAATAAACAGGACACTCAGGACTCGTGTAGTTTAACATGTTAAGCACCGTCAGTCACTGGCGACTGACACTATACTTTCCATCCAGAAGACGAAACAGGATGGGCGCTTAATGTGTTAAGAAAATGTATGTAATGAGTGTGGGAAAAAAGACTACAATGATATGTTACCAAACTATCAGGTTGAGCCAATACAATATAAATTAAATATTGATAATTCAAAAATTTAAAAACAATCTACACTAATAAAAGACAAAGATGTTAATTGACGGTACCTTCGCTATGTCTTAAGCCATGCCCACCAGCCAATCAGAGCGACTATATGCAAATTAACCCAACCAAGATGGCGGCCGGCAGACACAGAGCTGGAGCAAGCAGTAGGCTTGGTTGCCCAGGTGATGGAGGAAGCCAAGCTTCCTGCCTGCCCTGAGCTGCCTGTGGCCTCCGCTCACGGCAACAAAGTTTCCATTATAGAATTTCATGTACTATTAGATTTTGTATTCATTTTCATTCATATAGACACAGATGTAAAAAAGTTAATGTGAGAGAGTTTCCTTTTCTC